AAAATAATAATAATAATAATAGTAACTAATAATAATAATAGCTAATTAATAATAATAATAATAATAATAATAATAATAATAATAATAATAATAATAATAATAATAATAATAATAGTAACTAATAATAATAATAGCAATAATAATAATAATAATAATAATAATAATAATAATAATAATAATAATAATAATAATAATAATAATAATAATAATAATAATAATAATAATAATAATAACACCTCGTAGAGCCTTGGTTCCTCCTCACTCACTGAGGTAAAAGCTTCCTCGTCAGATCAACATACTAACTACCGTCTGTTGAAACTTTAGGAAATCTGTGTGAAATATATTCATTTTTTTGTTTATAAGGACAACTGGTTTAAATTAAATGGCGAGGTGGTAGGAATGAGGTGAATATGGTTATCGCTTCCATCACACCTGGCTTTTCCTCAAAACTTCAACGAATAAATTTGTTTATGAATTTATCCAAAATAAAGAAAAGTACAGAGCGATACAGCTAATACACACATGACATGAACCATTAATAAGCGTGTGGAGGAGTCGTCAGGTCACTGCTACTACAAGATTCTTATCGATTAAATTATAACTACGATTTACAACAGACCCACAAGCTACGTTAGGTCGACGAGCAAAGGTCAGTCTTGAGGGTTTTCACCATAGACGGCAGGAGTGTGGTAGACGGGTGGGGCGGGAGTATGGTAGACGGAGTGGGGGGCTGCAGACGGGGTGGGAGCGGCGGGAGGTAGACGCAGTGGGGGGCGGTGGACGGGTGGGGGGGGTGGGAGTACGTAGACAGGGTGGGGGCGGGAGACGGGTGGGGGCGGCAGGAGTATGGTAGACAGGGTGGGGCGGGAGACGGGATGGGGCGGCAGGAGTATTATAGACGGGGTGGGGGCGGCAGGAGTATGGTTCAAAGTAGAACTAACTGTAATGTCAGGCATTTCACATTATCAGGTACAGTTCCTCTCTACTAGCGCGTTTACAGGACTCGTCAGGTTTTGTGCAGTGTGGCAGTGTTGTGTTTGTTTACATTCGACAGAAGGAAACTCGCAATAGAAACTTACTATGGAATCAAAGTAAAACAATTTTAAAATAAATATCTCATAATGATTTGTGGAATGCTTATATGACGAGCTCCGTAAACGCACTAGTGAAGGACTGTACCTCAAACACAGTTCAGCGTCAATGAACAACATGGTAATATATACATTGAAAATAAGAGCGAACATATCCTATATAGAGATGTAAGTATTTTTGTCAATTATTATACTCCCTATAGTTCCATTTAAACGGTGTTGCTTGTAGAACGGCAAAATAAAGTAGAAGGACTAAACAATTTAAATATTTAGTAGGATGTGAAGGTGAAACAAGGCAATTTTCTGACCCCAGTTAAACGAATTCCTGCCACTCTTTCTCCTCCAGTCATCCATCTCCCGCTCTCTCCTCTGGGAAGAAAATTCCATTCCCAAGATGTGAACACCTTTAAATTGATTGATTTCCACTCAGGTGTGAAACGCTGCACATCTCGTCTCACTGCTACCTGTGATAGACCGTGTTCAAACATTATATTGCTGATGCACGTCCTTACCACCCCCCCCCCTCACCACCATTAACATTTATAAACTCTCATCTTGAATACTTAAACAAATGATTCAACCAGGTCATCTGCCCGGGGTGTGACGTAACCAGGCTGGGAGATATAAGGCTGATACCCTTTAGCGTTCAATCAAGAAAACATAAAATAAAAACCTCAGTGAGTGGAAGGAAACTGGACGACTTGTTCTTGTGAAGATAAAACTCACTGAGGTACACAAAAAAGATCAGCTGGGAACAAGTGGAGGGAGAGCAGCCAAGAATATCTGAGAGAATAAGAGCGACCTGGTGTGGCGGGGCTTTACGGTTGTTTGATAAAATATAAAATGATCAATCCCAGGTAACTGTAGATCAGACTAAAAACACGGTATGAGAGATGATGTATTGTAAGTATATGAACCAGGTAGTGAGAAGAGTGATATGAGAGAGGTTCATTTAACACCATAAAAAAAAAATATTTAAAACTCCGATGCCAGATATATATAATTATTGTAATGGAGAATTTAATTGTCAGAGTTGTTAATAGGGAACTGGGTGAGATTGTAGGCAAACATAGATATTCAGGACTGCAGAGAGACCGAGTAATAATGAATAGAAGGTTCAGAACAAAAGAGAATTAATGAATAGAAGGTTCAGAACAAAAGAGAATTAAACAAGAAAAAAAAGAATGCTACAAAAGTCGACGAACTGAAGGACACAAGTTTATGGGGGAGGTGGGGTGTGGGGGGAGGGAGGGGGTAAGGAGGGGTAAGGGAGGGAGGGAGGTAAAAGGGAGGGAGGGGTAAGGAGGGAGGGGGGGGGGGTGAGGGGAGGGAGGGGTGAGGGAGGAGGGATGAGGGGAGGGAAGGGTAAGGGAGGGAGGGGTAAGAGGAGTGGGGAGGGGGAGGGGTAAGGGAGGAGGGGTAAGGAGGGAGGGGTAAGGGGAGGGAGGGGTGGGAGGGGGAGGGGTTAAGGAGGGGTGAGGGAGGGGTGAGGAGGGAGAGGGAGGGAGGGAGGGAGGGGTGAGGGAGGGAGGGGTGAGGGGAGGGGAGGGGGGGAGGAGGGAGGGAGGAGGGAGGGAGGGAGGGAGGGAGGGGAGGGGTGGGGAGGGGAGGGGTGGGGGAGGGAGGGGAGGGGTGAGGGAGGGAGGGGAGGGAGGGAGGGGAGGGAGAGGAGGAGGGAGGGTGAGGGAGGGGGAGGGGAGGGAGAGGGAGGGAGGGGGAGGGAGGGGAGGGGGTGAGGGGAGGGGAGGGGAGGAGGGAGGGGTGGAGGGGAGGGGTGGGAGGGAGAGGGGAGGGGAGGGGTGGGAGGGGAGGGAGGGGAGGGAGGGAGGGGGGGGAGGGGAGGGGGGGGGGGAGGGGAGGGAGGGAGGGGGAGGGAGGGTGGGAGGGGGGAGGGGAGGGGAGGGGAGGGGGAGGGAGGAGGGGAGGGAGGGAGGGAGGGGTAAGGGAGGAGGGGAGGGAGGGGGGGTGGGGGAGGGGAGGGGGAGGGGAGGGGAGGGGGAGGGGAGGGAGGGGGAGGGAGGGAGGGGGGGGGGAGGGGTAAGGGAGGGGAGGGGGAGGAGGGAGGGGTGGGAGGGGGGGAGGTGGGGGGGTGAGGGGAGGGAGGGAGGGGGAGGGGTGGGGAGGGAGGGGGAGGGGAGGAGGGGGGAGGGAGGAGTAAGGATGGGAGGGGTAGGAAAGGGAGAGAAGGAGTTAAATGGGAATGGAAGCAGTTTAAGATTACAGTCTAAGAGGTACGTGGGTAGAAGATACAATAAATGAAACCAGGGAAAGAGAATGGTGGGTTGAGAGGCTGGCGGTGGTTATTTAAGGAGATGGGAAGAGTATTTCAGTGGATCGTAATTAGGAGTGAGGAATGAAAATAGTTTCCTTATGCCTAACAACACGACAGCGCACCGTAGAGTATTGTTTTCTTATCGAGGGAGACAGTATGGCAGGCATTGCACACGACAGCCTTCATTTACTCAACTGTAAATATAGATAACCAAATCACAGCTTGGATGACTGGGGATGTCTTAGGTACAATGTGGAAAAACTTTAAGAATAGGCGAAGTGAAAAGTGCCGTGGAAAAACTTGAAAATATATGTGGTAAAGGCGAGAGGAACATTGATCTGAGTAAAAGTATTGATGTACAATTTTACCAAGTATGATCAGTATTTTCATGGATGTGGTAGTAACAGAGGTGTGGTAACTAGAGTAAAGGAGAGTGGTACAGGTGTAGTAAACAGGTGTAAGGAATGGAAGGTGAGTCAGTTGGTAGTGGCAAATGACGCTGTTCTAGTGGGCTGTTGAGAAGGAAAGTTAGCAAATGAGTTTTGAAAAGTTTACATTGTAGTAGGGAATGTTATAGTGAAGTAAAGTGATGAATATAAGTTAAAAGAGAGAGGCAGGGAGAAATTAATGTCAGTAAGAAGGGAGGTGGAAGGGAGAAAGCTTGGTGTTTAAGATACCGGGGAGTGAATAGGCCAGCAGATGGAACGAAGAATACAGGAAGAAAAAAGTAACACATACAATGAAGAATATGGAGAGAAAACTGTGGCACAGGAAGCAAAGAAGGGGACGTGCAGGAGAGATGTCGAGGCAATATTATTACAAGAGTGTGAACTTTAGACTCTGAAGGCAGGAGGATGAAATTAGATATGAGAAAAATAAAGCAATATATAGCGTGAAATAGATGTAAAAAATATTATTACAGACATCAGAACATGTGGAAGAGAAAGGAGTGTCGCACAAAGAGCTGATTAAGGTTTGCTCAGGTGGTGTGGACTTATTGACCGAAGAGCTCGTGAAAGATTGGTAAAGTAATGTTATAATTCAGAAGCGGTCAGTGTGAGGGAGGAGGAGGAAAGGTCAAGAAGATGATGAAAGGATGAGATGAAATATATACAACACGTGAAAAGGAGGAACATCCCGGAAGCAGCGGTGTTCGTGGATGAGAGAGGATGTGATGAAGGTCCTGCTGCTAGGTGGTGTCACGCTACAGGGACAAACCAAATAGACAATTGACGTTCTTGTGGTAGAGGAACATCATGTCAGAACACATTTGTTGCAGAAGTAAGTGTGATTGAGTGAGAATGTCTAAGGAAAAAGTCCATGTTTGCTCTTGTTTCCGTCCACCCTGCATTATAGCGACAAAAAGCTTGAAAGACAGGAAAAAAAAAAGTTCCACCTATAAAGGAGGAAACAATGGGTGCCTCGGATTATACCAATACACATAAACCTGTGTGACGTATGACGCTTAACGCCACCAGTCTGCCACCCAGGGACGCTTGTAAATGTTCCTATGAGAGAGGCACACTGAGGCTACAAACTGCTCCTTGTTGTGATGTCCTCGATAGAACAAATACTAAAAGTAACGTTTATAAAAACTGACTCCTATAACTTACCGGAGAGAGGAAGCAAAGGGATTGTTAGTTGTATCTACACCTGTCAAGACGCGGGCTCACCTGGCATAGTGGTAGGTGGTGGGTGTACCGTAACGTGCCACTCCGCGTGTAGAACTTGACGACGTTCCTGACGGGGTTTGCTGTGGCGGCACCGACAGTGCAACCTTCGTCAGGCAAATGTCCAGCCACGGCCAACACTTCCCCCGAGTTGGTCCACTCCACCTGTGGGACAGAGCAGACACTGAAACCACTGTGGTACAGACGTAGTGTAGTTGTGGTGTGGGAGTGACTTACGGTTCTGTAGAGGGGCGAGATTGATTGATTGATGTATATAATTTTGACTCAAAGCCAAGTACTGGAGCCAGTAAGAGGTGCGAGAAAGAAACGCAATAAGAAATCATAAATACTCCTGTACTCTAGACGTGAATATGCTCCTCGTTTCACCTGTACCAAACACTGCAGAGGTTATCTAAAACACCGACTGTCTGTCTCAACCACCCAGTGTACCCGTCCCTCACCTAGAGAATAGATAACTAAGAAAATACATTATCAATAAATGTTTACATACTATGGTCTCAGTGTTCAATAAATACGATAGAAAAAATATCTTAGCAAATAAGATCACTTGTGACTTACTGTTACAGGAGAATAGACTTGATAAATCCTTACTGTCCTGCTTACAGTACCTTATTATTAAACTGAGAACAGGAAGTAAAATTAAGGAGAGTAGAGACAAGAGGAGCATGACAGATAGAGGAAGAGAAGACACTGAAGTGAGATTCATAAATTGTTCTCATTAGCATAAAATCCCAAAAGAACCTCTGGGTACATAAGTGTTCCCCAAGCAACATGTATACAAAACACAGCTGACAACATTCACCTTCAGTCAACACAGAGACTTGAAACAATGTCCACGAAGACTCTCCCCTACTTTTGTTTTATAATATATAAACCATAATATATAAACCATAATTTTCCCTTCTCAGAAAAACAAAAGAATCTTGTCCGTCACATACAGCCAATACCCTCCCTAGTTACTACACTCTCTGACCCTCTACTCACCTCAACACAGAGAAACATTGATAAGAGTAATCAACAACATCCGCGTATCTCCTCCACCCCAGAGACACAAACTTGTGTCTGTAGCGGCGCTCTTCTTATTTTATGGCAACAAACATTAGTATAGTTTAGCCGGTGGCGGAAGGAAGCTTGAGAGAGTGATGCTGAACATTTGAACACTGGCTAATGTGGGTAGTTGGGTTGACGGCTAATGAACGTACTGTACTTGGTGATATTGTCGTTCACTTTTCAGGGAATTACAGAATGTGAAGTTTTGAGCTGAAACGGACGTTACTGTACTATTGTCATTCTTCCTCTCTTAGTTTCTCTCTGGAGTTATTATTATTATCACTAGTTCTGACCATCCAGTGTGGAGGATTCCCGCTTTAAATGAGAAGACTTTTTTTATTAATATGATTACTTTCTCCAGTCTAGGACCTCAGCCAGCTGTGACCAAGAGGGTATTGTAGTCACCCATGACCTGTGTGTGTGTGTGTGTGTGTGTGTGTGTGTGTGTGTGTGTGTGTGTGTGTGTGTGTATCTAAAACTCCATGAACATCATCATCAATAATCAAAACTATATATATATATATATATTATTTTTTATAAGAACCAAAGGACGAAGTCACTCTTTAAAAACCTAACATATTAGTAAACAAAGTAAATATTTCATTGTATTTTACTCGGGTCTTCTCTTTGGTAAAATCGGTTGAGTCAGATATTGAGAGAGAGAAAGTAAAAACGATGCTTATGATGTTTTTAAGAGGATAGAAGATTCAACTCAAGGACTCTGTCTACTCTTACTCGATAGTATAACTTCTACTAGTAGGGGACCTGAACCAATGAATGATACACACGCATATGGCGACCTGAAGTATAGTGTTTTTATATATCTGATACACCAAGATCTGACGCATATCCGAGATCAGTAGTGACGATCAGATCTGGTTAAAAGTTTGTACAGAGAGAGCTATAGGATGTACCCAGTGTAGTATCTTCACGGGACCTCAAAACATTCAGTAGAGATAAGTTAAAATTAGGAATTCTGACTTAATCTTCTAACTGCGTGGACTCAGATGTTGGCGACAAAAGGGTCATTATACCTCACAACGACCCACAGTCTCCTGGGGCTGGGATTACCATTAGGAGACCATTATAAGGCTAAGTTTGCATTATATAATTTCCTTGAGCCTAATTAGTGTACAGGAGACGTTAATGAGGGTGTTTATGGGATTAAAAATATCACTAAAGTTATATAAATTGTGAGAGTTATTAAAGTGATGCTGTATATAGTATCCCATCTCCCTAACCAAAGTAAAAGTACTGTCCATATCTCAAACATTAACCTAACCTAACCTAACCTTAACCTAACCTAACCTTAACCTAACTTAACCTTAACCAAACCTAACCTTAACCTAACCTAACCTTAACCTAACCTACCCGTGTGTACTTCAAATGAGGAGTTAACTTTTTCTTTAACTTATAATGCCGTCAATTACCGTTCAACAAACATCACAGAATAGTTCAGGGTTATTTTTTAAAGGCGTTTTAACCTTAAATGATCATAAAGAGAACTGTTACCCTTTGTCACGCTAAACATTGATTTAGGTGACTCTTAGCCTTTGTCCTGAGTCCATCATCTATAATAGTAAATTGATTATATAAGTGTATAAGTTATTGTATTGTTAAGTTAATGTACTGTAAGATTATTAACTGAGCATAAGAAGAGTACTATTAACGTATTGAGAATATTCCACATGTATAATAAGTGTTTGAGGATTGTAGTAAAATCCGTGATAATCGTTTAGTGTATGATAGAATAGTAAGTTTACAATGAGACTATTTCAGGTTTACGGTGAGTGTGTATAATGAATATAGAGAATATATCGGGTCTGCAGTGTAGGCGTATGATGACTATTTATACAGTGAATATTGTTAGTGTGTGATAAACATACAGTGTCACTATAATAGGTGTATGGTGAGTATACAGTGAGTACTGTAGGTGTGTGGTAAACATACAGTGTCACTATTATAGGTGTATGGTGAGTATACATGAGTACTGTAGTAAACATATACTATTATAGGTGTATGGTGAGTATACAGTGAGTATTGTAGGTGTGTGATAAACATACAGTGTCACTATTATAGGTGTATGGTGAGTATACAGTGAGTACTGTAGGTGTGTGGTAAACATACAGCGTCACTATTATAGGTGTATGGTGAGTATACAGTGAGCATAAAGAGAGTGTAATGACCTGGTGTTATGCGAAAGAGGAGATACCAACACCGTCATTCAGGGGGACAAGCTATGTAAACATTGGCTGCTTTATCAGGTCAGGGCAGGTGAAGTAGGAGGAGAGGGGGAGGGAGTGATGAGGGTGTGTGGGAGGGAGTGGTGAGGGAGATGAGGGTGTGTGGGAGGGAGAGGGTGAGGGAGGGGAGGGAGAGGGTGAGGTGTGTGGGGAGGGAGTGGTGAGGGTGTGTGGGAGGAGAGGGTGAGGGTGTGGGGAGGGAGAGGGTGAGGTGTGTGTGGGAGGGAGAGGGTGAGGTGTGGGAGGGAGAGTGGTGAGGGAGAAGTTTGGGCAGATAGCGAAGGAGAGTGCAAGATAGTATGTGTGTGTGTGTGTGTGTGTGTGTGTGTGTGTGTGTGGTCCATCCCCCCCCCACTACATACTGTAGTGGTCCAAAACTCACCTCGAAGTCCAGGATTCACCTAAACGTTCACCTGTGATTCACCTGGACTTCTATGATGGGTGTGTTTAGCTTACCTGGACGTCACTGACTCACCTGTACACCATTAACTCACCTGTACACCACTGACTCAGCTGTACACACTCACCTGGACACTACTGACTCACCTGTACACCATTAACTCACCTGTACACCACTGACTCACCTGTACACACTCGCCTGGACACTACTGACTCACCTGTACACCACTGACTTACCTGTACACCACTGACTCACCTATACACCACTGACTCACCTGTACACCCCTGAGGCCGGTCCTGATGACGATGGGGGTGAGATCGTCGTGGGTTCGTAAGAGATACACCAACCCCGTCTGGAACACCACCGCCAGGAGAGAGCTGCCGTCACCTGCTGAAGACATAACCACGTGTTACTACAGGATAGGGAAATGGTGAAAGGAAACAGGAAACTGATGCATAGGAGGAAAAGGTACAAGGAAACACTGACGCATAAGAGAGGAAAAATGACGCTTGAGACAGGAAACTGACGCATGGGACTAGAAACGGACACAGGGGAGGGAAACTGAGGAATGTGCGGATAAAATGACACATGAGAGAGAAAACTGATACATGGGAAAGGAAGGACATTTTGACGCATGGGAAGGTTAAACTGAGTCATGTGTGAAAGGAGAAATTTACGCCTGGAGATAACTGCCGGAGAAGAGAAGTTGGTGATTATGAGGTGAAGATTAGATTGTGTGTGAAAGTTTATGTCTAAAAAGCCGAGAATAACTCGAGGCACACGTTAGTTAACTTCCTCCACGAGAGACGGAAGATGGAGGAAAATAAATCACATTTGTAAATGAGGAAATGCGTTAACTGTTTAGTGTGTAACCGTATATATATATTTGTTAAGCATCAGGTATTTACCATGATTCAGACTGTATATGTGCTGCCAGGCGCTCTTTTTCTAGAGTTCCACGGCTCTCAAAAGGCTCAGTCGTGTTAGTGTTATCACCAATGCACAACCCATACCCGTTAACTTTCTGACTAAATAAACTGTTTTCATTTGAATTTAGTTCAACGGATTCCTACACGCAAAGGATAGCCTTAATAGATGTACGCGTCGGTTTTGCGACTGGACGTTGACACATACGGACTCCTACAGACGATCGATCGCATGGACGAACGTACACATGGGTCGCTGTGCAGTGGTTAAAAAACAAAGACTGACAATAATACATACAGTTGACATTGACGATCAGCTGCCAAATGGTGTACAGTTGCGGACAAAACACTAAACAAATATCTGGCTTCAATTGAATATTATATATATATATATATATATATATATATATATATATATATATATATATATATATATATATATATATATATATATATATATATATATATATATATATATATATATGCAAGTAAATCACTGTAGGTGCGCGTGATCTAGGTATATGATAACCACAAGGAAAGAAGAAAACACGAAGTTCCCAAGCGCTTTCGTGTAATTCACATCTTCAGGGGTGAGTACAGACTAAAGAGAAATACAAACCAAGGTGTATATATACAGAGGAGGGTGAGACCAGGTCCACAATGGTCAGGTATTAGGTAATGACCCTACTAATCTTTAAATAGCACACACCTGTTGTGGTCATTTCAGAGGGAACAACTTTCTGACTGGATAATCTCCTAATTACTTGTAATTGTCCATTGATAATAGGAACATCATAGAATCTAGTCTTATTAAACATACCGAAGCATTCAACATGAATTTGAGTAATGGCCTGTACAAACTGGACAATTTTGTAATTAAGAAGATTTGTAACCAGGTGAGAAAGTTGGGTCACCTTACCCTCTGACCTGACCTGACCACCAACCGTTGTGTGCTATTTAAAGATTAGTAGGGTCATTACCTAATACCTGACCATTGTGGACCTGGTCTCACCCTCCTCTGTATATATACACCTTGGTTTGTATTTCTCTTTAGTCTGTACTCACCCCTGAAGATGTGAATTACACGAAAGCGCTTGGGAACTTCGTGTTTTCTTCTTTCCTTGTGGTTATCAGCATATATATATATATATATATATATATATATATATATATATATATATATATATATATATATATATATATATATATATATATATATATATATATATATATATATATATCTGTTTGTATTATAGAATGTTTTTTTTTTTACTGTTATTCTGTTCTAAAATTAATAAATTCATGAAAAACAACGTTCACCAGCTGTAAACCAAGCAAGTGTATGACTCATAAATAGCTGCCAGATGGTGTTAAATTCTGAAGAAAATTTAGCTGTAAACATAAACTTGAATAATTTATTATCTAGGAAAATGATTGTTGACAAAATGAACACACTACACAGAAGGCAAGATAAATAAAGTTTATATTCAGGGAAGCTCACGTCTCAGTGTTGCTCAACTCCTCTGCATTGATTATTGGACACGAAGGTTAGTGACCTGGGAGAGTGAGTTGCTTGGAATATAGTTGATGAATTTTGTGTTTATGGGAATTTTGACGACAATCAGAGATCCAATTCCCAACGACCTCTCCGTACATTGAATTTATAAAACGAAAATAAGTTCTAGCTTAATATTCTAACATATTATTGAAAGAGAAACTCCTTTGTGAATTGGAAGTTTAAAGTGAAGGAATTATCAAAGTTGCTATATAGACTAAATGTTTATTTAACACAGAAGCAGAGGTGATGTGACGTGTAGCAGGTCAAAGATCGTCAGTCACTTGTCCGTGGAAGCACTCGAGTGGGAGGAGTATAAAGAGGTCAGAGAGTGAAGAATGGCGTTCCTTAACTCTCTTGCCTCCCACTTGTGGTTTTCTCTGTGCCCAACGGCTTACTGCGTGATCTCCCACACAAGGCAGCTCACTCAGCTTGGTGATCTATCTCGGTCACTCAGCCTTATATAAACTACTTCCTCTGTTTTTGCCTTTAAAGTTACCTTCATTAATTTATTATCGTGTTTGGTTCCTCGTCCATTTTTGTATTCAGGGTTTAGTCCAGCTAATGAAGGATTCGGCTGAAGAACATAGCTCTAAGCAAAGTCAGGTGGTGGTGGGTGGGAGGAGGAGTCTTTGTCACTAATTAGGTCGCGTGTACACGAGGCATTTTATTAGCCGCCAGTGCTGACGTGATAGCAACTGACGCCTTAACGCGTCGTGTCAACGGTTCCACTAGCCGTGACTAACTCTCCTCTAGCGCTAGCAGATATCGGATTTCCACTCGCCTGGAAGTTGGTAGTTACTAACTTTCAGTCACTAGTATGCTAGTGGAGCTGGCAGTTGTATTTAGCAGCCATGGGTGTTTGACTCAACAGTGTTCAGTGCAGTTTGATGTTTCTTAATGCATATTTATCACTAGCAAGTCTACGGACTTGCTACAACAAATTTTATATGTTCAGATTAATGATTACTAATTATGTTCTCGATAAATTTACGTATATGGCGGAATCTTCAACTGATAGTTCATTTAGAAGAGTATTTTAAGCACCGAGTTCGCCTCTCCTTTCCATTCACCTTTTTACTCCAGAATTCCAGTACAATCTCTGGAAGACGAAGCTGGTTGCCTGGAGGGCATCTAGTCGCCAACTAACCAGTGATTCAACACAGTACCGCCGTTCCTACAGATTTATTTGCAGGTTTGCTGATTTATTAGGCTCATTCTGACGTATTTTCTGAATAAGGCTAAATATAATGGTCATAAGGTCCAAAACTTCCTTGTGGCCGAGTTTTTATTGGGAAGAATAGACATAAAAATTTGGACAAAATTGAACGGCACCACTGTGGGTGTGAGAAGGCGAGTCAACAGCCACAAGCCCGCTAGTGCTGGTATGGAAAGGCTCCTCTCGCTCGCCTCCTGTGTTACCATACTAGTGATACGCTTCACTCTTTCAAAAACTACGGTAAGACTAAGGATGTATGGTCGCAGTAACAGAAAATGAAAGAAAATGTTAATAATATCAATACAGTTGGAAGGTGTCTCGGTTACACTGCTAAATTGTCTTCCTTTCTTCCACACCGGTGTACGTAAAGTTACATCCACACTAGATAAGGTTAACATTTCTTACCGACACATCATTCCAGCTACCTATATTTCACTGTAATTGTGAAAGAAAAAAGTTTTCTCCCAAAGAAAATTATATTTATCTTTCCTGTTGAAATTCTCTCAACAACATTGGCACCGCCCAGGGAGAGGTCAGGGCTGTTCCATGTATCGTTGTATCAGTGTTGGAATAAATAATTTATATTACCATTGTCGTAAACCTGTCACAACTTCCTCGCGTTAAAAACTTTAATATGCTTTTCCTTAATAAAACCTCTCTTATCAGCATAATATTTGAATATGAGGAGAGAACCTGACTTCCATCTTTCACTTAATCCAGCTTGAATAACCAGATAGCATGAAATAAGCTTATTTTTCTCTATCACACAAACCAACATTACTTCTAATCACCGCCTTACTCTGAATCATGCCAGGCCTTCTATGGTAAGCTGCATAAAATTATTAAAGGAACCAATATCTCTCTCTCTCTCTCCACCACACTGCCAATCACCCCAACGGCTGACAAACACTTCCTAAACAAACTTTAAAATCATCATATGCAAATTCCTATCGTTGGAGCTTTATATACGGTACTATACAACGAGATGTGTTCCAGGTGATATGTAGTCCCGAGGCTTCCAACACACTAAGACTCCACACCTGTCTACCCCGAAGAAGGAGAACCATCAATAATGAACAACATGCGTCTTGTCCTTCATGAATCTATTAGTATACTCGACTGTCCAGACCAACACACACCGACGTCTCACCAATTGTCACACACACTATTATGTTTCCATTTATATTTTACACATTTTTTTTTTACTCACTATTCTTATAATTTTCACTATCATCAATATTCTTAATTCACCAACTTTTACTCAGTGCAATATGAAGTACACTTTTACTATCTGTTACTCACTATAAGAAGATTTACTCAGCTTTACTCACTACTCACCACTACTACTACTACTATTACTACTACTACTACTACTACTACTAAATGTTTCACACGATCGCCAACATATAATCATAAAGATCTATTACTCACCACAATTAGACCTATATCACCATTATGAGACCATCACTATCTTTCACTCATCAAAGTCTCTCCTCCTACAAAATATTACTGTGGTCAACAGTTTGAGACTCCACTCATTAAATACGCTCCATTTATACACAAATACGCACTTCAAAACATATACACACACATACAGTATACACACTAATCAATCAGAGTACAGTCCTCCACTCGTCCTCAGGCTGTTTTTACCAATTCTCTAAGGTTTTGTATCTCTCTGGGGACC